GATAAGATTCTAGCATCCTCCCCACAGGGGCTTCCAAACCACTCCTTGGAGCTTTTGTCTTTATCCATGTTTCAAAGCACAATATATGCTCAAGTGATTTAATATAATTTAATTGATTTAACTTAATGATAGTTATTTAATTTGTCCAACTGCAATATCTACTCCAGTTTAACGTCCTCTGCACAGCCAGCCTAGTGACTTCAGTCTGTTGGCCGTACTGTGAATTTCTGGTTGCTCTTAAGTGAATTTGTTCCTTTGCCTTTTCATCAGAAAGTGTGATAAACAGTTTATGTATTTTTATTCAGAGCTTGCATATAAGTATTGATAAATATTGAGCTGAGAGTAGATGAACTTATGGCATTAGAACAGGCTCACTGATACTTACTCTTCCCTGCCTGGGCACTCAGCTTCTCATATCTCTACCTAATTATATTAGCACTTCGTAAGTAACCAGTGATGTTATCAAATATCTCTCAATGAAAATTTACTACACAATTCACATCTAAACCCAAGTTAATTCTGACTTTGTTAAACTGAATTTATAACTGATTTATTTAATTTATCATCAGTTTATACTGTTCCTTGGCCAAATATCCCTAAATATTTGATAAAGTCATCACAAATGAGTCTCTGGTATACAACAGTATGGATAATATAAATTATAATTTATGGTGGTGAAAACTAGGTCTATATTATATTTGTCCAGTATTTTAGTAACTTCTTTTCTTCGTGTACTCAAGGATCAAACAGTGTGTTTGTGGTTCATATCCACTCTCTCTCTTTACAAACCATAGAAAAGCCACTTTCCTTAATGTTGGTAGCTTTTGAAAGCCCTGGCTTATTTATATTTTTGACTATTTGATGATCTTCCTACAGATTTATCTCAGATTAACACATGAGCTTTCTATCATGGATTTTTGTCTTAAGTCAGGAAAGTAAAAATGCTTTTTAAATGATGAGAGACAAGTGAATACACGAAGAAGAATAAATTGGAGAATTAAGTATATATTTATTATATGTATATTATATATATTGCATATATATTAGAAAGTTCCTACTTAACTAGACCTCCTTCATTTGACCATTTATATATATTTGATAGTCAGATATCATTTAGGATAAAGACTACATTTCTAATATCTGAGATGTATACTTTTTTGCTTTCTTATTCTTCTGGGTAATGGAATGGATAACTACTAGTTAAAACAAGATTGCTAGGAAAACTCATTTTCTGATGGATAGGATAAAATATGATCTCTAGAAGAAAAAAATGAGTCGTTCTGTGTTTCAAATGGAATGTAACATGATCTCTTTCTTCATTTCTTTCTGTTATTCTTTGGAAACATTGTATTTGTCTCTAATTAAATTAGGGCACTTTACACTCCCTTCTCTCAGGCCTCCTGTCTCCTAGTGAAACTCTACTTCTTAACAAGCCCTCTCCTACTTTGATGTCTGCTTTTATTATATTTTGAGGCTCACTGAGTTTAATGATGGATTCTTGAATGAATTTGAGTATAGACTCCTTAATGGCGCATAGGCAAATTGTCAGTGGCTACAATGCTAACACTCATTACCTGCACAGAATTTCTCAGTGAGTGCTGGGGTCTCACCAGCCCTCATCTCCATGCATGAGGAAATGGTGATGTGTCCTTATACAGGTCTTTACACTGAGTTCATGAGTTCAATGGCCTTGTCACGTCCAAAATACCCAGTTTCATGATGCTCTTCCCAAACCTATAGTTCTTATAGTCCTCTTAATTCTCTTCCATGATGTTCCCTGAGTCTTGTATAGTGTGATATAGATGTCCAGTTCATAGTTCGGTACACAACCATCGCTTATTCTACACACTTTGACCTCCTGTGAATCTCTGCAGAGTCATACCCCATGGAAAAAAAAGACGCTCAACTGACCAAGGCTGAGAACAGCACCAATCTCTGGGTTTAGACAGGAATATTAAGAAGACAGTTTGGAAGACAAGAATGAAGAGAGAAGAGTGAAAAGGAAAAATTAAAAACTTTAAAAAGAAAGATTGGCATCATTTTTCTTTACCAACAAACAGTAGTAGGTAGTTTCTGAGGACCTGTGGCCTCCCCAGGCATGAGTGGCCTGAATTTAACACCATTTCTAGAATACAATCAATTGCATATATAGTAATGTGAAGAAAAAAAGAGTATCAACATAGAGCAGAAGCGGGAAGATGATGTATAGAAGAAGCCTTTGTTTTTACAGTTGACCATTGTGGCTTTAATTGAAAAGTTGTGATCTACACAATTTTTTGTCTCATTTCTTTAATAGAATTGGATTTAAGTGACAAAAGAAACATCTTTACTTAAAATTATGCCATGTTTTGCTACTACACTTTGATGTTATGAGTCATAAAGTATGTGTTTGTCAATCTTAGGAAACAGGATGTTTATGAGCTGCAAATGCCTTATTTACTTGTATTTTTAGCAAAAATAGTGATTTTTGTCATACAGATAATGAAAATAAATTGTCCCAGAATTAATAAGTGAAAGGCTTTTCACTGAAGGAATAGACACAGCTTTGTTCCTGCAGGGAGAAATACAAAGCACCTGCTTTGAACAGCAAGTTGTCATTGCACTGTCACTGCTAGAAAAAAGTGACTTTCGACCAATAAATCAGAGAATACCACACGAGAGTTTAAAAATATTGAGATTCTAAATATTTCCATGAACTCACTATGTAGCCAAGGGTGGCCTTGAAAATCTGACCCCTCTACTAACACCTACAGAGTACTGAGGTTGCAAGCATGCACCACCACACCCAAATGAGGGACCGGATTTTACTACAAATGCCTGTTTTGCATGGTATGGAACATGTGACAGAAAACTAATATGGTAGAGGGCAACATTAAGGTAGAGAAGAAATGTAACGGGCTTTCCACCCAAAAAGTTTATTAGAAATTTAACTGACTTCTATTTAGATGAAGGTGGTACCATTTGTCCAAGTAAGAGGTGAGTCTGTGATAAAGTTATGGCTTTATTCTCTTGAGTAAAGATATTTCTGAGACTTTATACAGTAAATGCATGCAGCTGATATCTGTTTTGGATATTAAATGATGGCAAGAATCTGTGAAGTGCATAAAACAATGCAAATTATAAGTACTGTGTAAGTTTTCTATAACATATCTAAAGAGCAAATGACTCAGAGGCATCTGAAGATGAATTCACAGACCTTCAGAATTTAGTGTTTTTTATTAGAGGAGGCACAATATCCTGACAAACTTCAATGTGATATGTATGGAGTAGGTGGGATGGCTCAGTAGGTAAAGGTGCTTACCACTGAGCCTAACAACTTGAGTTTATTCCTGTGACCTACATTGTGGAAGAGAGAACCAATTCTCTCCAAAGTTGTGCTATGACCTCCACATGTGCATCGTGACACACATGTACACACACACACACACACACACACACACACACACACACACACACACACACACACACATAATACAAAGTAATAAGGAAACTGAGAGTAACAGGTTTTATAAAACACAATATTCTTCACTGTGACATTATTAACAGTCTACTATTATGTGTATTTTTGTTTCTTTTCTTTTTCTTTTTACCAGGATGACAATTTGTTCTAGCTACTCCTCCTCCCTAATGTCCTCCCTGAATACATTCTTCATATGCTCCTTTGAGTAAATGGTCTGCCAATGAGATCTTAGTAGAAGTTCATTCATTTAGAAACACACCTGTGTGCTTGCATCATTTTTCCATCTCCATCTTTCTGAGAAAAATGTGGATACCATGTTGCAGGATGGAAGTTGTGCAGATACAGTGAGGGTGACGATGAGGGCATTCCCTGATGCTGGGTCCTTGATGACCTGCAGAAATCTCTCACTGTCCTGCATGGTCTGTGAAGAAGAGAAGACAGCACAGTGTTGTTGACACCTTGTCAATGTGTTCATGACACAGTCTACACTTGACATCACTCCTGCTCTCCAGGAAGCTCTTTGCTGATTGTCATTCTATTGTTTATCCATACATATCTGGTCCAATTATACTAAAAGGCTTGTATGTACTCTGGTCTGATTCCAAGCTTCTTTCTTATATTACTGTCTATTTTCCTATTTTTGGTACATTAAGAGTTCTGGCTGGGCGTTGGTGGCGCACGCCTTTAATCCCAGCACTCGGGAGGCAGAGCCAGGCGGATCTCTGTGAGTTCGAGGCCAGCCTGGGCTACCAAGTGAGCTCCAGGAAAGGCGCAAAGCTACACAGAGAAACCCTGTCTCGAAAAACCAAAAAAAAAAAAAAAAAGAGTTCTGTAAGGTAATTTTGCATTCTTCCTTTTTTTTCATTGAGCCTTCCTCAGGCTTTAAGACAAAAATATGTGTCCACTCTTTATGGGTACAGCCTCTTCCTTCCACTGCCTTTATAGAATCACCCCCAGGGTATCACTAACAGTTCCTAAGAGATTGCCTAACAAAGGAATAAACAATGCTACTTTTAAAGTTTTTCTTAATGGTACTTGTCTTACAGGTTTTTAAAAATCAAAATCATAGTACTGTACCACACATGAGAAAATTCTTTGAGAACTCTGAGACATTATATATCATCTGCTGTGATTAGTTTTTATTATCAACTTGACACGTTCTAGAATCAGCTGGGAAGGAAATTTCACTGGAGATTTTCTAGATGAGCTTGGCCTGTGGGTGTGTCAGGGGAGGGGCCTGGTATCTTGGTTAGGTTGAAGTAGAAAGACAGATCCACCATAGGTGCTGCCGTTCCTTAGGAAGAGGATTCTGAGCTATAATAGAGCAGAGAAAGTTAACTCAGCATAGCATGTATGCATTAATTCTGCACTGTTTGCCCTTGACTGTGGATGTGACATGACTAGCTGCTTCAAGTTCTGACTGCCTTGACTTCCCCCAGATGGTGAACTGTAACCTGGAGTTGGGAAGCAAACCCTTTGTCCTGGTTTTCTATCACAGCAACAAGAAACGACTTATCAATGCCTTTATATGTTTTCACAGATGAGATGTACTCCTGCTGACTTTAAATACTTTCCTGAGTACAGAAAATGCATTTCCTGTCTTTCATGTGAATTAAAAACAAAAGATATTGACAGAAAACCAAAACCACCAAGACATCACATTCAGAAAGGTTGGTATGTTTTGATGTGAACTAAATAAAGCAACAAGAAATTGGGGACACTGATTTTGAACTTCTAAACACTAGACTCGAAAATACATGTTGAGACATTTGACAAAATATGCATCTAGTGGGGTTTGAAAATGTCTCCATGGTTAGGAGTGCTTGCTTCTCTTTCAGGAGAACTGAACTGGATTCTCAGCACTCACATCACAGCTCACAACTGTCCCAATTTACAGCCTGGGGGAATCTGATTCCCTCTTATGGTCTCTGCAAGCACTGCACACACATGTCATATAAATCCACAGACACACTTAAAAATCCACACCTTGTCTAATCTTTCAATGGATATATTTTATTTGATAAAAGCAGTTAGTAGCCAGGCGGTGGTGGCGCACGCCTTTAATCCCAGCACTCGGGAGGCAGAGCCAGGTGGATCTCTGTGAGTTCGAGGCCAGCCTGGGCTACCAAGTGAGTCCCAGGAAAGGCGCAAAGCTACACAGAGAAACCCTGTCTCGAAAAACCAAAAAAAAAAAAAAAAAGCAGTTAGTAAACTCCATCCATAACTGATAGTTTTATGACTGCCTCTGTCAATTACTGTTCTTTAGGAATCTGTAGTAAGAGCCTAATCATTACTTAAATTAAAAATGATACTGTTTCTTTTAACTTGGAATATGATTATTTTTCTGCAAAAATGCACCACATCATCTTAATAAAAACTTGCCTCTTCATTTACAGACAGTTTGTAAAATAAGCCCTCCTTTCTGAGATGAACATTCTTTTCTCTATAGTGTCTTTCACTAAGGAATCGTGTAAACTCACTGTACTGTCCAGGCCATCCAGGATCCAAGTCTTAGGCTCAAGTGATTTTTACCATCTCAAATTACTAGCTGACACTGTAGTTGTACACCATTGTGTCCAGGCTCTGAAAATTGCAGTTTTGATTATTTTACATTTATTTTCATTTTATTTTTTATATGTGTGTGTGCATTGCTTGCATATATGTCTGTACCACTTGCATGCCTAGAACCCACGGAGATCAGAGAAGGGTGTTTCAACATCCTCTACTCAACATGGCCTCTTAAGTACTTGTCTTACAATTACTTGAGCTATAGTTAGGCATTTAAGAAAACAATTTTATTTACAGGCTTCAGATTTGCATGGGCAACTTTCACTGTTGAGTGGAAATCTTAACTCCTAAGATCACTGTACACTGAAGGATAATTAATGGAACTGTTATACCTTTCCTGGGCATGTATAGTATTTTAGCCACTATGTGTACTTTTTAGTTATTTTAACATCCTATTAGTCATTTTTTCTTGCCTTCTTGTTTCAATAATCCCTAATTTATTATCTTTTATTATCAATACATTGCTTAAAGGGTTTCCTTTCTCCCTCCTTTCCTCCACCCCTCCCTCCCTCTTTCCCTCCATCCCTCCTTTCTCTCTCTCTCTCTCTCTCTCTCTCTCTCTCTCTCTCTCTCTCTCTCTCAAAACTTAAAAATGTGATCAATACATATAGAATAATCAGTCTGTTTTGAATTTGTTCTGGAGTCTAAAATTAGCTGTCTTTGAGACTGAGAATACTGTTACTTTCCTGTGTCAATTAAAAAAATATTCTAGTATATTTTCTGCTCATCAGAATTATACACCTTAAACAGAAAATATCTTCCTGACCATCCACATCTATAGTGTGTCCAAAGATGTAAAACATACTACCCAGTGAGCTACAGAAAGACTCCCACAGCTGTTCTTTTTAGGGAGGTATGTGGTGGCACAGGAGAAAGACAGAAAAAAAACTGGTTTCCATAACCAGTGCCCGGAATTTGCCTAGTAGGGCTCCCCAGCAAAGAGTTATTCATCTGGTGGGTTGACCTGTTAAATACTAGTTGTCATCTGCTGTATACTCTCATGGCTCCCTGCACTTCACATACTCACCAGCAGGGGAGGTCACTTGTGTTACTGATCTTAGCCATTCCTACAATGTAAGATGAACTCTCTGATTTCAATTTGATTTGCATTTCCCTAATGACTAAGAGTGTTGAATATTTAAGTGTTTATCAGCTACTTATGTTTCTTCTTGTGAGAATTATCTGCTTAGACCTGTTCCCTAATCCAGTTTTTAACTGGATTGTTTTCTTGAGAGCTAGTTTTTTGAGTTCTTTATGTATTTTAGATATTAGCCCTCTACTGGATGTGTTGGTGGTAAAAATCCCATCCCATTTTTTAGGCTTATACTTTGTTAGAATGATGGTGTTCCTTGCCATGCAGAAACTATTCAGTTTCTTGAGGTCCCATTTATTAATCATTAATCTTAGTGCCTGTGCTATTGGTGTACCATACAATACACAATGGTCATCTCCTGTGGCAATTCTTTCAAGGCTATTCCCCATTTTCTCTTCTATCAGGTTTAGTATATCTGGTTTTATCTTGAAGTCTTTGATCCATTTGGAGTTGAGTTTATTAGGATGATATGAATGGATGTATTTGGATTATTCTGCCTGCAGCTGTACAGTTTCAACAGCACCGTCTGTTGAAGATGCTGATTTTTATTACTATAGCCCTACAATACAATTTGAGGTCAGGGATGGTGATACCTCCAGCAGTTTTATTGTGACACAAGATTGTTTTAGCTGTCTCCTTGTTTGTTTCTTGTGTATATATGAGCATGGGAGACATTTCTATCTCCTGATATCTTTTTCAAATTGTTTTTCATGTGTTAGTTTTTTATCATACAAGTGTTTCCCTTGCCATATTTTTTTGAGTCAATTGTAAAAGTTATTTTCCCTTGATTTCTTTCTTTCTCAGTCCATTTGTCATCTATATATAGGAAGGCTACTGTTTTTCTGAGTTAATTTCATATCAAGCTACTTTCCTGAAAGTCTTTATCAGCTGTAGGAGTTCCCGATGGTATTTCTAGGGTCACTCGTGTATACTATCATATCATTTTAAATAATGATACTGTGACTTCCTTTCCAAATTTTATCCCCTTGATCTCCTTCAATTGTCTTGTTGTTCTAGCTAAGGCTTCTAGTACTGTATTGAATAGGTATAGAAAGAATGGATAAGCTTGCATTCCTGATTTTAGTGGAACTGTTTTATGATTCTCTCCATTTAAGTTGATGATGTATTTGTGCTTGCTGGAAACTGCCTTTATTATGTTTATGTATGTCCCTTGTATCGCCAATCTCTCCAGGATTTTTATCATGAAGTGGTGTTAAATTTTGTCAAAGGCCCTTTCTTCAACTAATGATATTGATCATGTAGTTCTTGTCCTTCAGTTTGTTTATAGGGTAGACTACATTAATTGATTTTCATACATTGAACCAGTCTTTATCTCTGTGATGAAGCCTACTCGATCATGGTGGATGATCTTTTTGATATGTTCTTGGATATGGTTTTCAAGTATTTTATTGAGAATTTTTGCATTTTAGTTCATTAATGAAATTGGTCTGTAATTTTCTCTTATGTTGGGCCTTGATGTTATTTGGGTATCAGGGCAACTCTGGCCTCATAATAAAAATTGGGTAACATTCTGTTTCTATTTTGTGGAATATTTTGAGGAGTATTGGCATTAACTCTTCTTTGAAAGTCTGGTAGAATTCTGTGTTAAAACTGCTGTGGGATGTCCTGTATGTTGTGAATAAATAAAATGCTGATTGGCTAGTAGCCAGGCAGGAAGTATAGGCAGAACAAGCAGAGAAGAGAATTCGGGGAACAGGAAGGCTGAGTCAGGAGAAGCTGCCAGCCACCACCATGTGTAGTTAGAGTTTTCCTGCCTTTCCCACAGTCAGGACAAATCTGTCACCCGCCAGTCCCACAGTCTCTCAGACCCAACCAAGTAAACACACAGACTTATATTGCTTACAAACTGTGTGGCCGTGGCAGGCTTCTTGCTAACTGTTCTTATAGCTTAAATTAATCCAGTTCCATAAATCTATACCTTGCCACATGGCTTGTGGCTCACCAGCACCTTCACATGCTGCCTGTCATGGCTGCAGCTGGCAGTGACTCCTCCCACTTTCCTGCTCTCTCAATTCTCCTCTCTGTTAGTCCCACCTAAACTTCCTGCCTGGCCATTGGCCAATCAGTGATTTATTTATTGACCAATCAGAGCATTTGACATACAGACCATCCCACAGCAGCCACGAATACCAACATGTAAGATGCTGGTAAGCCACGAGCCATGTGGCAACTTGTAGATGAATAGAAATGGATTAATTTAAGATATAAGAACTAGATAACAAGAAGCCTGCTGTGGCCATAAAGTTTGTAAGCAATATAAGTCTCTGTGTGTTTACTTGGTTGGGTCTAAGTGGCTGCGGGACTGGTGGGTGAGAGAAATTTGTCCTGACCGTGGGCCAGGCAGGACTGGAGAAAACTCCAGCTACATAAAACCATCTGGTTCTGGACTTCTCTTTGTTGGTAGATGTTTAATTACTGCTTCTATTTAACTAGGGGTTATAGGTCTGTTGAAATTGCTTATCTGAATTTGATTTAGCATTGGTAAGTGGTATGTATAGAAAAAAATTATCCATTTCTTTTTGATTTTCCTGCTTGTTGAAGTACAGGTTTTTGAAGTATGCCTTTATCAGTTTCCAGCTTTTCTTGATTCTGCTGTTATTTCACCTCTCTAATTTTTTAGGTTAGATATTCTCCTGGCATTTTAATTAATTTGGAAAGGTTATGTAAATCTTATTGATTTCCTCAAAGAACCAACTGTTTATTTCATTGATACTTTGCATTGTTTTGTTTGTTTCTATTTTATTGGTTTCAGACACAACATGATTATTTCTTGTCATCTACTCTTCTTGGGTGTGATTTATTCTTTTTGTTCTTGAGCTTTCAGGTGTGCTATTTTTACTAGTATGAGATCTCTTCAATATTTTTGTGTAGTCAGTGCTATGAACTTGCCTCTTAGAACTGATTTCATTGTGTCCTATAGATTTTTGATATATCTTCATTTTCATCCACTTCTAGAAAATTGTTGATTTCTTTCTTAATTTTCATCTT